CCACCTCATATCCTGGGTATCTCCACTTGGGCCAGTCTTAAGTCTCCACTCACAAAATCTGGTGTCCCAACACCACCTGAGCTTGGAAAGCTCGGGAAGGCAATGCTTTTAAGGAATGCCAACTGTCACCTCCTAAAAGGGTACAAAACAGGCTCGACAGCAGGCGAGGTAAGAAACATCCAGGCCTACTGAGCGGCCAGCCCTCTCTGTACCTGCCACTGCTCACCTTTGGAGAACACAGGGGTCTGGCCTGTGAGCTGCTCCAGCACCTTGGCTGCCCGGGTCAGTCTGTCTCCACTCTCTCCCACGCAGATGTTGAGGCAGAGCTTACGGATGCGAAGTTCCCGCATGGGGTTCTCCTTTTCACCTTGATCCTGCTGCAACAGGGAAGCGCACCAGTCAACACACAACCCCACCACAGCTGTCAGCTCAGTATTTTTATGCACAGCTCAGCTCAAATGACAAACCTCTAAAGGTTTATGAACTATCACGATGTTTGGGAGGCATCTCGGGGCCTTGTTTCTCCTCCCAAGCACAAACGGGTGAACAGCACGGATACCGGGTGTTAAGAGTTACAGACACCGAAGTAAACCCCAAGTGACTCAAAGTTTAAAGTGACAGCGTCATTACACGGCAGACGAGATGGAAGAAAACAGGATTTACTTGCTGAGGAAACAGCAAGCACATGGCTGTACAGCGTCCCCTACCCCATTCGGAAACCGTCTCGCCTTAGGGCAGCGGAAGCCTAGCGTCCGCCCTAAAGGACGACCCGGCTGAGGTTCCGCAGCAAAGCGCAAGCTTCAAGTTTCTGGGACTTGAGAGGTCTGGACCCCGCGTCCCAGGCCCCTCCGCTCGCAGCACGGCCCTCACTGCAGCCTGCGGGCCGCACTTCCAGACCCTGCGGGGGCTGCCCGGAGCCCGATCCTAGGAGGGTGGGAGGAAGGTGACAAAGCCCTGCTCCGCACCCTGGGGTCGCATGGTTCTGCCAGTTTCAGCACGGCCGGCAATGAGGGCTCTGTTTTTCTCGGGCCACGAGCAAGGTAACCCCCTCAGGCTCGGCTGGCCGTGGATGGAGACGGATGAAGGAAAGCAAACCGAGGTCTCAGCCACTCACCGCCATGATGGGAAACAGGAAGAGAGAGTGAGACTTCCGACCCAGGGCCTTATGGGCCAGGAGGCGGGCTCTTTTCCCAGGCTAACCAGTGAGACGAACGAGAGGAAGAGAGGCGAGTCTGGAGCCGCGTTGGGTTGGCTTCTCCCTCGTGGACACAGTGGCAACTGCAGGCGACGCTGTCCGATTTCCTGGGACCCAGGCTTTCCAAAAGTCAGTTTTTTAGACTCCCTGAGCTGGCATCTCTTTGAGCTTCCAGTCCCCCTTAACGCTGTTTCCGCCCACAGCCTCAAGACTGGCGTAGAGATGACCAGAACTACGCTAGGTCAATTATGCGAATCCTGAAATTAATTTTTTATTCCGCAACAATGTAAACAAATGGAATTTAAATAGTAATTCGAACAGAGTGTTGGCTTGAGAGTTCAGAGCTGTGAAGGCAAGCAGATGCAGTCTGTCTTGGCTAAATAGCTATGTGACCTTAACTGGCTACTAATTTATTAAGTATCAGTTTTCCTCGGCTTTAAAATGGATACTTATTTCTCACGGGATTGTTGTGAAAATTAAATGAGGTGTGGTGCACACAGTAAGCCCACGATAAGATATTACCCTAATTAATATGAACTCACTGTATTCAAGCAACCCACTCCCCCCCCACCCCGAAAACTGTTAGACATGGTACATAAGCAAGAGAGGGTCATCGTGCAGGCACCAAGACGGCTTGCAGATTAGTCTCTTGACAGACAAGGACACCGATCTCAGACAGTAACAGGCCTCTCTAGGTTTGCACTAAATCCTCATCAGCAGGACCCAAGGAGGTGACAGGATCCACATCCTAGGCAGAAGCTGGCCTTGAGGCAGCCAATGTCTTTAACAGGGACAAATGGAAAAAGATGACCATACAGGGCTTTGGTGGAAAAGGAGCCAAGGGTTTTCTTCTGCTTCCATGATTCCTGCTCCTACTGCCACAGGAGAGGCAGAAGCCCCCAGGCTTTCATCCTTAGGGACAAAACAGCACATCTGGGAAGCTGGGCTGATGGAAGAAGGCACAGAGCAAAGGGCCATCCTTCGAGCCTCCTCTATCCAGCACCCAGTGCCAGCCCAGAGCAGGGGTCTTGGGACCCTAGGATGGGCAGAGCCAAGGGAGGGGCCACTCCAGAACTCCAGAAATAAGACAACTGAATGCAGCACAGGATCCTGGGTTTTCTTTACCAGTAAAGCACATTATTGGGACAACTGGCAAAATCCGAATCTACAGACATCAGAAATATTCATTTAATACTTGGGCTGATTACGTGATCTTGGCTGCCTAAGAGAATGTCCCTGGGTTTAAGAAATACACGTTCAGTATTTGGAGGAAAGGGGCATATCTGCAGTTTACCATCAACTGGTTCAGGGAGGGGGGGAATGTATATTTCGAGAGAAAAGGATAAAGCCAATGTGGTAAATTTAAGATTTTGGGGAATCTGGATGAAGGATACGTGGGACTTCTTGCAACTTCTCTAAACTTGAGGGAAACATGTACCTAGGAGGATACAAGACAGCTTATTTTCAAAAACTCTCATCTCATTCCCTGCCTCCACAGTTTTTCTCCAACTGAGTCACTTGACTGCGGTACCCACACATGGTAATGAGGAAAGCTAATTAACAGCTAATATACAGTACCCAGTAAGTACCAATCACTCAACCTTCAATGTCCCAGTGGAGGTAGGTATTATTGTTTTCCCATTTTACAGATGCACAAACAAGGCACACAGAAGTTCATTAACATTTATAGACACTATTTAAGTCAGATGGTCTAACACCAGAGTCTAATCCTGATTTAGGAGCTGATGAACTACGCCAGGGCCAAAAGCTGCCCCAGGCCTCCCTCTTTATACCTTTTCCTCCCCGTGACCCCCAGCTCTCTGGTTCTTGCACCTGTCAGGCCCCTAGAAGGAAGACGGAGTAGCAGAATTAGACCCTGCACCCTTCTGCTTCCTCCTTGCTTGAAATAGGCAGGTCAGTAGACACAGAGGCAAAAGGACTTGTGCTTTATTCCCATGCCATAAACTCATCAGCACAAAGAAAACTGGGTCAGCAGGGGCAGGTTTAGAACAGTTCAGGCAAGGGGGTGGCAGGCATAGCACACCAGTGGAGTGTGTGCTTGGTGTACATGAGGTCCTGGGTTCAATCCTCAGTGCCTCAGTTAAGAGGAGGGAAAAACAGTTCAAGTAAGAGAAGAGCAAGTTCAAGGCTTCTCTTTGAGCCACTCTTTCCCAGGTGAGCTCTGCCTGGGCTGCCCTGGCCTGGAGGGGCCTGAGTAGCTGTCAGCCCTCACTTTCTGGTGGCTTTTATGACCACCTGCCATAAAAGGTAGTGACTCTGCCTCCAGTAGCTGCTTTTTCCTCCACTGCTTTGATGACCCCAATAGCCACCATCCTGCCTCACGTCCTGTGCGGCAAAGCACCTTAGGACACAGGACGTGGAGAAACAGTGGGGAACACTGCCAGCAGCACGAGCTATGGGACCATGGCACAAGAGGCCGAGTGAGTAAAGTAGCTGATACTTTGAGTTGTACATGTGAGCTTGTTTAATTCTCCCAACAACTCACAGTAGATCTCATCTCTATTTCATGGGGGAGAAAACAGACCAAGGAAGTTGAAGTTCACTTGGCCATAATGGTTGGAAACCCAGAAGTCTCAGCACTTAGATTTCATTCCATCTGCTCTTTACACAGTTGGGAAAACTGAGGTCCAGAGAAGGAAAAGGACTTGTTAACATTCAGCAAAGTGAAGTAAGCATCAGGAGTGAGAACAAAAACAAGACTCAAATACTCTGATACTCATACATTCTAAAGACTAAGCTTTTCCCCCACAGAGGTACCGTAAAGAAGGTGCTGCAGGCTCTGAAGACCAAGGAAGCAGGCTTGTAGGCAAGGGTGCATTCTTGAGTCAAAGACCCCCTGGGAAGCTGACATCAGTATGACAATGCACTGTATGCATGCCTTTTAAGCAGACATTGTAATTGCTCCTCTAAAAACCCTACGCAAAGCTTGTCAGAGGCATCATCTTTGCCGTCAAAGATGTATCAGTTAACTGGAAATCCAGGACAGGGGAAGTACAGAAAGAACCAAGGAGGTTGGTATTAAAGGCCAAGTGGGCTGACCAAGAGCTGGTTAGCACTTGAGCGTTATAGGTTAGGCCCACTATTGGAATCCTGATGGAATTCCTCCTTTCCAGTTGGCGTAGGTCCTTAAGCAAATCTCTAGACTTTGAAACCCCAGGATCCCATGACCAACAGAGGAAACACCAGCCCCTACCATGGCACTATAGAGAGGTACATGCCCTGGCCCTGAGGTCACATACAGCAAGCTCTCAGTGCATGGTCACTCTCAGAAGGGGGAAGAGGCAACAACTGCCATGGGTGAAAGGGTTGGGAAGGGAGGATCAGGGACAGTTTTGCTGGATGGGGAAGAAGGCTCCAGTCAAGGAAGCCTTCTTTCCTGGAAGAGAAGCAGAGCTATGCTGCACAGAAGCCACACAGAACACATCTCGCCTCATGGGGACTCAAAAATTAGTGGCCTGAGGAAGAATGCTACTATTTCTATTAATTTTCAACTCTTTTTTTTTTCACATCAAGCTCTTTTTTTAATGATTTTTTTTTGGCAAGGGGAAGTAATTACGCTTGTTTGTTTATTTTCAGAGGAGGTACTAGGGATTGAACCCAGGACCTTGTGCATGCTAAGCATGCGCTCTACCACTTGAGCTATACCCTCCCCACAATATTCAACTCTTACAGAGGGTGGAGGAGAAGGGAGGGATAGGAGGCTTTGAAAAAATTTAATAAGCAATTTTATATAAATCAAGCTTGGAGGGAAAAAAAAGAATATTCCTTCTCTTTCCAGAGGGGGTAATTGAGGGTCAGAAATAGGTTGCCAAAAGACCAAAGACTGGCAGATGGCCAAACCAGAAGTTGATAACGAGACCAACTCCCCACTCAAACACCAGACTCATCAGTGAGGACTAGCTCTTCCACTAGTTTGAGGAACTTGGCAACTTGCTTGGCTTTATGCCAACTCACAGACCTACACAATAAGCCTATGGGGTCGGCATCATCGCCATTTTAAAGCTGAGCAAACCGAGATCTCCAATGTCACAGGTATTTCTTGAGAGCTACAAAACTCCAAGTCTACTTTCTAGTCCACTAGCTGCACGCTTCATTCTCTTGGCATCTAGAAAATGGCAGGAGCCTAATAAATGCTCAGAAGGATGTGAGCATGAAACCCTCTTATCTCACTGGTTGAAATGTGTGATAATACTCAGGGTGTGGGGAAACAGGCATTAAAAGCTTCAGATTTCTGTCATTTTAGATGACTCCTTCTTGACAACTAACTCACTCATACCATGTCCCTTCACCTTTTAGATTTTTCTCGGCACTTGCATTCACCTACTATATTATCCACCTGCCTCCTCCACACACACACACACACACCCCCACAAGACTGTAAGTGCCGTGAGCAGAGTTGCTTCTTATTCACCATGGTACCCTCAGCACCAAGGACAGTGCCTGGAGTGCATGCCAATGTTCAAATACCATCCAAAGGAACACATTGCCAATGGCAGTTCTGATCTTTCTCCAGGACGATTAGGCAGGATATGTGAGAAGATTCCAAAATAATGCGTACTCTTTGTTTCATTAGGAACTTATTCTAATTAAGTCATCGAGGACACATGGAAAGATTTATTTACCAAAATGCTTATGGCAGTTTTTAATAAAAATTAGAAACAATATTCTTAGAAGCTGGTGACCTTGAGCTATTCCTTAACTGTGTTCCAGCTTTCATATTTTACATGGAAATAAAATGCCTTCTTCCTGGGGTTCTGTATGTGTAAACTGCTTAGTCTGGTGTCTGTTACCTAGTAATTTCTCTAATCATTAATTACCATTTTCATTTCATAACGGACGTGGCTAAACAAACTACTGTACTTTGAGATGCAATAAAAAAAAATCCACTAACTATTCAACATGTTAAATGACAAAGAACTTTTTAAAATAAGAAGTGTCATAGAGGGGACTAGGTATAGGTCAGTGGTAGAG